AGGTCACACAGATAGGAGAAGCTCAAAAGTGAACTGTTTTTCACTTAGCGATCTCTGACTCTTCTGGACCCCTAGCGTTCCCCACCACAAGCTCAGCATGCCAACAGCTGATAAGAAAAGCTCCTTCAAATTAGCCTAATGATTGGATGCGATTTATTTCTCACTGTTATTCCAATGATTATATGCAAGTGGACAGCATGTTTCACAATTTATGATATTATTCTGTGTTTGAAGATATCTTTTCCAGTCCTGCCACAGCTTAGCTTTGTGACCTTAGTCAAGTTACTTAATCTCTCTGAGATTCACTTTCTTCATGTGTGAAATGGAGGCAATAAAACCGACCTCATGGATGATTATATTCAGTGAGCTAATCTACGTAAACACTAAGCATGGTGTCTGTCATATAGTGACGATCTGTCAAGGCAAGTGATTATAATCAGCTAGGTTATACGACCTTAACAAACAGCCACCAAAATATCAAAGTTAATTTATCATTTATTTTGATATCAATCATTGGTCAGTTAAGCTCTAAATTCAGCTTACTCAAGGTCCCAAGATGAAGGAAACTTCATTTCAGTATGACACAGGCTTCCTTGGTCAGTAAGAGAAATAAAAATAATGACTCGCACACTGGTTCTTAAAACTTTCACCTGAAAGGAAACATGATACTTCTGCTCACATTTCACTAGTCAAAGAAGGTTGTATGACTCTGTCAAATTCACAGGGGGTCAATGTGCCCAGAGCCAATCACAATAATGATTTAAAATAGTTTCTGCCATTAGCTTGCAAAAAGGAATGCAAACCTAAATCCTCTATAGTAAGCATTATTTAGTCAAGTCATTATTAATGAAATCTTATCATCTTAGCAAATGTAAAATCTCTTACTATCCAAATTTATTCATTTCCAAGTTCAATTACCAAAGGATTGGAACTGAAACATCAGTACTGGAAATCAAAAGAGACACTGCCCTAAACTGAAAATCTTCTTTCTCCTACATATATTCTTCATGCAGATATCCCAGGTATAAGAATTTTTCTATATTTCCCCGTCTCTCTCTCTACCTGTTCCATTTCTCTCTCTTCCATCTTCCTCTCTCCCCTTCCATATATTATATATAGATATGTGTGTGCATATATATACATTTTTTATTTTTTAATTGTTCAAAAGTTGGAGATATAATGCCCCATTTCCTCTAAGTATTTTAGTATACATTTTCACACACACAAAAGCATGCTCTTATATAATCAAAGTATAATCATAAACACGAGGAAATCAACACCAATAAAATAATACCATCCAGTTCATAGGCCCCATTCAGATTGTGTGGATTGCATCAATAATATTATTTATAAGCTCTTACCCTTCTGGTTCAGGATCCAGTCATTGAGTTGTCGCATCCCTTTAACCTCCTAAATTGTAACAGTTCCTCTGAATTTCATGATCTGAACATTTTTTGAGGCATATAGACGAGTTACTTCATAGAATATTCCTCATTTGGGGTTTGCTTGATTCAGGTTATGCATTTTTTGGCAGGAGCACCCCAGAAGATCCCGTATTCTTCTCATTATATTATTTCAATAGATGCATGTGATGTTGGTTTTACCACTTGGTTAGCCAAGTGTCTGCCAGATTTCTACAATTTAAGAATAATTAATGATGTTTTTGCATTTCAAATATTTTAATAAGTATTTAATGAAAAGATACTTTATAACTATTTAATTATTCTACTCCCTATCAAACATTCACAAGAGGGTTTGAGTATATTTTGATAATTTTTGTCTGAATCAGTTGTTACCATGAGGTAGCCAAAGCCAGTCATTTTTAAAATCAATAATTTCTGATTAGTTGGCATACTACCTTCAGATAGAGATTTTTCCTTCACTTATTCATTCATTCACTCAGATCAGCATGTACTTACAGATTCTTATTTTCCAATTGGTTATAATCCTTTACTATCATACTTTTTTCGATGCTACTTTTTTTCTAGATTTGGCTAATAAAAGCATCCCTAAGCTGGTTTCTTGGTATTTCCCCATCATTCTTTAAGCAATTCCTATTTTTTTTCACACAAAAAAGTGTTCAAGTTTCTTGTACATTTTTTTTTGCTCTGATTCTGAGATCAGTTGTTTCTCCAGGACTCCCTGGTTCCTTTTGTGGGGACATAATATTTAGAAAATAACATCTGGCTTCTCAGTATGCTCAATGCTACTGTAGTGTCATTGCTTTCTAGGCTTTCTCAGAGAATACAGTATAGAACCAGGAAACACCTTCCACACACATACACATACACACACACATATACCCACATACACACTTATAAATTTACCCACCTGTGCATCTATTTCTATATCCAATTATATATATACATAAAAAAAATAAAAATTGTGAATTCACACCAATACCACCAATCTCAGTTCAACTTCAAAGAGTCTATTCTATCTCCTTCACCTCACTTATTCTTATATATTGTACACCAGGGTCCATTGTTCCTGTCCCAGGTCCCTGAGGTGCCTAAAGACTCTGTTTTTATCATAAAACAATTTGCAAATTATAGTAAGAATTGAAATATTTCTTTCATGGTATGGTCTTGCTTTATTCACAACAAAAACAACGAACATATTTATGAAAGAACCACTGAGCTGGAAATGGCAAAAGACTTTTCAGGTATAAATAATGATTTGTGTGCCCACAAATTTACAAAATAGCACAGGAAATAGTTTCTTAGTAAAATTTTTGTCCTTTTGTTCCCGAGTTACACATAATAAGGTCTACATTAAAATATGGAGACTACATGAAGTTTTCTTATTAGCATTGAATTGAGTTCACTAATTTTTGTGTGTGTGTATATGTAAAAAAACATCTGCAGTGGGACTTTTGATTCCAGCCAAGATGGAGTAGACCTCACTCCTCCCATGTTCTCTCTTGAAAAATTATAAAAACTCCAGATATACTACAACAAACAAGCACAGAAAGACACTGAAAGTGGAAAGACGATAGACTGCCTAGGGACCTCAGGACTTGAGGAGCAGCACAGTGGTGAGTCACCTCAGTTTTTGTAATTGCCTCCTATATATCCTAGACAGAACACTGCAGAAGCCTTCAACTGCAAACTGCCAGCAGACACTCAAAACAACACACAAGATTTCTATTCCTCCTCACCAAGATGTAAGGAAAAGGTGACCTATCAACAGAAAACATTTTTGGCCCAACTACATCCAAGCGTTAACAGAAAATCCTCCTTCGGTCCCCATGGTTCCAGTGGGAATGAGCAAGGAAGTAATCTTCCACCTTACCCCTCCACCCTGTGAAAACAAGCAGTGATGCACTCTTTCCTCCATTGGGTGATATGAGTCTTTCTATGCATGGACCTGAACCTCTACCCCCACTCAACATGAAGACTGGAAAATGTGTTGCAAGTCAGGACTAGTTAACATTCCTGGAGTCAGCAGATGCAGGAGAGCGCTGAACACCTATGCGTATCCAGCAGCAACAAGACTGAATGAGGAGGTACAATGCCTTGCTACTCCACTTTCCCCCACTATGGTGTCAGAAGGGCATGGTGGGAAGCTGAGCCTCCATCTCTATCAGGTATCAATGAGGCAGAAGAAGGTGGTGGGACACAGGATCAGTTAGCACTCCACTTCCCACTGGTGTGATCAGAAACTAGTGGTGAGCTAAATTTCTAACCCACTTCTGCAGCAACAAAGGGGTAAAGCTAAGTATATCTGACCCTCACACTCACACTACACATCAACAGGGCAACTGCCTTGAATAAAAGACTGAATAGAATTTGTAGTTACATAATCTAATACCTAAAATGTTCAGCATGCAGTAAGAAACTCACAGGAAAATTCCAACTTGAGTGAGAAAAGACAATGAACAGACACCAGCACCCAAGTGAATCAGATGTTGGAATTAAGTGACAAGAATTTTAAAGCAGTAATTACAAAAATATTTTATGTAACAATGACAAATTCCCTGACACAAATTTAAGAAACAAAAAGTCTCAGTGGAGAAGCAGCAATTATACAAAAAGAACCAAATGGAAATTATAGAACTAAAAAATATAATAATAATACAACCTGATGGATGGGCTTAATCATAGAATGGAGATGACAGATTGAATCAGTGAAATTGAAAACAGATCCATAGAATTTTTCCACTCTTAACAACAGAGAGAAAATAGACTGAGAAAAAATTAACAGAATATCAAGAACCTGTGAAACAGTACCAAAAGATCTAGTATGCATATTATCAAAGGCCCAGAAGGAGATTTAAAAAAAAGAACATTATTGAAAAAGTATTGCATGAAATGATGACTGAAAAGTTCTCAAATTTGGTAAAAACCATAAATTTACACTTCAGAAAATTTAGCTAACTTCAAATAGCATAAAATTAGACAAATTTGTGCCAAGATATGTCAAAATTAAATTTGTAAAATGTAAAAACAAAGAAAAACCTTGAAAGTACCCAGAGAGAAACAACACGTTACCTATTAAAGAACAAAAGACAACAGATTTCTCATCTAAAACCATGGAGGCCAAAAGGAAGTAGCACAACATCTTTCAAGTACAAAAAGGAGAAACATTGTCAGCTAAGACTTCTCCATCAGGAGAAAATACCCTTCCAGAATGAGGAAAAATCAAAACATTCTAAGACGAAAAACCAGGATAATATATTTCTAATATGTCTACCCTAAAACAGCTAATGTAAGTTCTTTAAACAGTCAATAATGGCTATTGTGGACCATTGCTTCTTTTTGCCCTGTAGAAAGATTCATTGGAAGAATAATAGATGTACATTTTGTTTTGAACAATGGTGTTATTTGGAAATCCTGACTAAGATTTTTTTTTGGGGGGGTGGGGAATAATGCTGGATATTTAAAAGGATGATACAACATGCTAGAAAGTATGAGTTGTAGGTCTAGTCCTGGTTTCCCCAGTGCTGGTCTGTGACAGAAATGTGATCCTACTGTGAAGCCTCAGAATAAATACTCAACAGAAGGAGATCCAAAGACAAATGACAGAGCCTCTCTGTATTTGACTCTATCCTTGAGTTGATATGGCACCAGGTAGAAATCTGCTCTAATCTCCCCCAACAAGAGAAGGAATATTACTTGGAAATATATCTTGGAGTACTCTTCTAGAAAGAATGTCAGTGATCTGATATCTTCTGAAGCTCAGTCCAGGACTGTTCTCCAGGCAAGAAAAGGAGAGTTTGATCGATCAATTTTGTTCAAAAAGTTCAGGGGTGAGGGTGGAGGAATAGTAGTTTGGGGTGTGGAGGTGTGATTTAAGGGGAAAAATAACTTTTCCATTATTCCTCTGTCTGAATATTCAAAGTCTGGAACACATCAAAAGCAGTTAAAAATAAAAGGGATTGTTATACTTATCTGTCATCCCAATGCAGTTTCCATATTATTTAAAATAGCAAGTTATCTTTGGGTGACATTAGCCTTAGTGATGTGAATTGCAGTTTTCTTAATGATGTCAGGGCTTAACTATTTAGTAAGTAGGAGGAAAACTATCTAACAGAATGGACCTTAATAGGAAGAAAATCAGTTGAACTGAATAAATTAATGTTTACATTCCTTCAGTCTCTATTTTTCATCTAATATTACCCCATGCTATTAGAGCCTCAGCCAAAAATTGGGTTTTATTCATTCTGGCCCTGTGATTTCCTTTCAGTAAGAAATGTTCAGGGTAAGACACATAAGTGCAAATAAATTTAGCTAGCATTTGCTTGGCTGATTCTCAAAGAGGATCAAGGAAGGAAATGGAGAACACCAATGATAAACTATTCAACAGGGCATTTTGAAATTGGCAATGTTGCAAGAATAGTATTTTATGGTCGTTCAGATACATAATATGTTTTATAGAATGCTCAGAAAAAATAAAATGATCAAACCACAGCCTTTTAGGTATAGATGGAATGGCAAGTGATTTATTTGATACATAGTAAATATTTGAAAAAGATTTCAATTTATTTCAAGAAGAGTGCAGATAAGATTTGTTGAGGAAAAGATCTTTATAAGGCACATTGAAATATTTGGAGTTAGATTAGATTTCATTTTTGATGTAAGAAAAAATAAATAATATCTTTTTCATATTTAAAGGAGTTATTTAGTATCAGTAGATCAGCTGCTGCTCTAGTGTCTCTCAATTGTCAATTGCATGGGGATTGCAAGTGCTTTATTAAATGACTTGTTAATATTATCCTCCCTCAAAAAGGATTTGTGGTGAGAAACGACTGCCACTACAAGTGAACTAGAAGACACCAGTCCTGAAATTCTGCTTCTCACTAGTACTACGAGGCTTGCATTAGAATAAGCACATTAAGAAAAAGTAACAAATTTCATTTTCATATTTCTCATCCATGTGGAAAAAAATAAAATACAAGCCTGAAATATCAAATGTGTTTAGTGGAGGGATGTTTTAGAATCACCAGTGTTTTTATTTGTTTTGAGTTTTAATTTGATATGGCTTTTCCACTTTGTTTTGTTCTGTTTAAATTCCTTAGGTCTTCTGCCAATCACAGTACTAGAGTCCTCAATAAGTTAACTGACATGATTTCCATGATTGCCCAAATAGGGAAATAGTGAGATGCTTAAATAATTTGATTAGTGTAGTTTATTTTCCATATCAAATAACTTAGGTCAAGTTAAGGAAATTTCACAAGCATGAACTACTAGAATTTTAGAGGAAGTGAATGCAGTGAACCACCAAATCTCAAGGGTCTGCTTTAACCTCAGAAGTAATCCTATCTTGATAATTAATCAGTGACATAGTTAAGAATTCAAAAGAAAATAGCCTATTTTGCCAGGAGTGCCTGTAGATGTTGAAATTCAAATAAACAGAAAAAGCAAATGACCCAAAGACAGTAGTCTTCAAGAGCTTTGCTGGAATTCACAAAAATATTTCCTTTAAACAGTGCAGTACTTAGACTAGCTATTTCACCTTGGAATTTGAGTTCATGAAGAAATGATGAGTTTAACTGTTCTCCTGATTTATCTGAGTCCTTTGGAGTTTATGAACTAGAAAGAAACAATGTGACATGGTACTGGACCCAAAGGTTTACTCTTTTCTCTGTTTGATGTGATTCAGGCTGTTTTCAGAAAGAGCGATCTTGGATATAGAAAGCCTATCTTCATGTGAGATATTGTGAGCTACTCGCTTCATGACGACAAGTCTTTTAACACATTCTGTTTTCTTTTTTTTTTTTTTTTTTTTTTTTTTTTTTTTGAGATGGAGTCTGCTCTGTCGCCCAGACTGGAGTGCAGTGGCCGCATCTCAGCTCACTGCAAGCTCTGCCTCCCAGGTTTACGCCATTCTCCCGGCTCAGCCTCCCGAGTAGCTGGGACTACAGGCACTGGCCACCTCGCCCAGCTAGTTTTTTGTATTTTTTTAGTAGAGACGGGGTTTCACCGTGTTAGGCAGGATGGTCTCGATCTCCTGACCTCGTGATCCACCCGTCTCGGCCTCCCAAAGTGCTGGGATTACAGGCTTGAGCCACCGCGCCCGGCCTCTGTTTTCTTTTTATAACATTAAAGTGAGCTAAATTATTACCATCCCAGTTATACAAATTGGTCAAACATGGCCAGCAGTGCTTTCTGGTCATTTTTCATACTTGCAAATGAAAAACTCATTGTTAATAGATCAATATCATGACCGAATCAATGGTTTTGAGGTCTTAGAAGAAAATTACAGACCATGGAGTGGGTTGCTCTTGGGGGTTGAATAATGTACTATATGGAATTACTAATTGTGTGGGGAATATTTGTTGAATGAAGTCATGAATGAACAAATGTTGTCCACAGAAGTAAATCCAACTATAGATGCCAGAGTTGCAATGAAAGCTACTCACCTGAAGGTCAATATCGTTTTTACACAAAGTGCCAATTTGAAGTGAATTTGTGTTTCCAATATTAGAGAACTTTATATAAGTTATGGCATTATCTCCTTAAGATCCTATTAACATAGATATTAGAGATAGTAGAATTAGTTTATTTCTTACCTATGCTTACTTTTTAAATATTGCAAACAGGAAAAAGTAAATGAGGTATTACAAGGGATCAACCATTCTAATGCCTGGGTTTTGATAACATAGATTGTATGTTCAAGTGGATTCTTAAAGGTCATACAAGAGCTACATAGGATTTCTTATTTCTCTTAAAACAACCTTTTTTCATAGAAAATTGTTAGCTTTAAATACTATCCATATACCAGTCAACACTTGTGTGCAAAGAATCCAAAATGAATGTAATTATGCTCTGATTTTATCATTCCTACTAATGGAATACTAAGGAAATCTGCTAAGTAGGAAGATTTAGTAAAAGATTTCACAGTATGATAGCTACAGTAAAGCTGACTTTTTAAATGTGAAGAAACTATTCCAGTAGATGACTAAAAATAAGTAGAAAAGTCTTAGTACACTCTATTCTGCCAGCTCTGCAAAATAAAATACTATTCTGACTTGGAGTCTAAAAAAAAAAAACTGGGTTATTCTTAAAGAACATAAACTTTGGAAAAGTTGAAATTCAGAAAATTTAGTTCAAAATACTTAAATACATACTATATTTAACTTTATGTATATCTAGTTTCGAAGTTTGGTCCTATTGCTTATTGTCGGTGACAGCAATCAGTTTGGCAAAGCCTTGAGAACATTTTTGCTGATAACTTACTTTATTTCTCTCTATATATTACAAGATTTCATTATGTCACAAACCAGGTTAAGTTCAGAGTACATGGTGTAGAAATCAATTATTTGATTCCCTTTAGTGAGCAATATTTTGGGCAGCCCATATTCCGTATCATATAGCCTTAGTATCTGAGATCGTGGTAGTCAGCATCCCAGAAACATCACCATTCCCTGTGAACAGGAACCCTTGACTTCAAAGAATCCCTGCTTCCTACCTCTTGTGACTCAACTTTGTACTTTTCCATGTGCCTCTGTTCCATGAGCTATTTCTTTACCAATCTCCATTTGAAACCGTCTGTACCACCATGGTTGTCCTCTACTGGTATGTTGAACTGACTAGCCATCTTGGTTAAGAACTGAGCAAATTCTTTTTAACTAGTTTAGAATTGTTTTTTCCAAATTTAATTTTAAGTTTAGGGGGTACATGTATGGGTTTGTTACATGAGTAAATTGTGTGTCACAGTGGTTTGGTGTATAGATTATTTTGTAGCCTAGATAATGAGCATAGTACCCAATTGGCAATTTCTCAGTCCTTAGTCTCCTCCCACCCTCCACCCTTAAGTAGGCCGTGGTGTCTATTGTTCCCTTCTTTGTGTTCATGTGTAATCAATGTTTAACTTTCCCTTATAAGTGAGCACACATGGTATTTGGCTTTCTGTTCCTGGGTTAATTCACGTAGGATAATGGCCTCCAGCTCCATTCATGTTACTTCAAAGGACATGATTTCATTCATTTTTATGGCTGCATAGTATTCCATGGTGTATATGTACCACATTTTCTTTATGCAGTCCACCATTGATTGGCATCTAGGTTGATTCCATGTCTTTGCTATTGTGAATAGTTTGAATAGGGCTACAATTAACATCTACGTGCATGCATTTTTATGGTAGAACGATTTATATTCCTTTGGGTATATACCCAGTAATGAAATTGCTGGGTCGAATGGTAGTTCTGTTTTAAGTTCTATGAGAAATATCCAAACTGCTTTTCATAGTGATTAAACTAATTTACATTCCAAGGAGCAGCATAAAAGCATTTCCTTTTCTCTGCAACCTAACTAGCATCTGCTATTTTTTGACTTTTTAATATTAGCCATTCTGACTGGTATAAGATGGTATCTCATTGTGGTTTTTGCATTTCTCTAATGATTAGTGAAGTTGAGCTTTTTTTTTTGCGAGACAGAGTCTCTCTCTGTCACCAGGCTGGCGTGCAGTGGCGCAAACTTGGCTCACTGCAACCTCCGCCTCTAAGGTTCAAGTGATTCTCCTGCCTTAGCCTCCCGAGTAGCTGGCACTACAGGAACACACCACCATGTCCAGCCAGTTTTTGTATTTTTAGTAAAGATGGGGTTTCACCATGTTGGCCAGGATGGTCTCAATCTCTTGATCTCGTGATCCACATGCCTTGGCCTCCCAAAGTTCTGGGATTACAGGTGTGAGCCACCTTGCCCAGTTGCATTTTTTCATATGCTTGTTGGATGCGTGTATGTCTCCTT